CAGATATTGTGTCCAATGACAAACTGTTTTAATGCCACATTCTCCATTCCCTAGCCATCAAAGTGTTATGCAGTTCCACTATATCACAATAGAAGCATCATGTCAGTTGCTAGTGTTAAAGATATTTATATCACTACTATATCACTGCTACAGTATGGACAACATCATTAGAGACTATGCAAACTGGTCCTCTGTTTTCTAGGATTCTGTTACTAATTCTGATTATTACAGCTGTCAGTCTAAAATAAGGTTATATTTATATTAGTTGCAATAACTTAGAATATAAATCTAATCAATCAATAGGCATTAGACAGAACATGGTAGATGAGCCAGGCAAATTATTTGCTTTGGGAATTCTGATATTATTTTGGGTAGCAAATGCCATTTTATTAAAAATTGTTTTGAAGCAATATGAAAAATAAGGAATTTCTTGTTATAATTAACAAACCATGCATATTTATACTATACACTCTATACAGTTTCTCCGTTTTTCTGTAGATTATGCAACACTATTTCATTTCTACTTTTCTGCATTTAAGCATAAATCTTTCATTTATTAGTGTAATTGTATTAATAAAAATGACCATTTATGGGGAAATAAGAAAACTAGTGGTTGAAGGAATTTATTAGATTTCAATAATATACTAATTCAACAATGGGCTTGAGAAATATCACTGTCTATCATAGATTCCTGTTATGAATAGACAATTTTTATCTAGGTATCCTTAGTGAAACATTACATAAAATATTAATAGTAACATAATTTACAGCAAATTATGCTATGAAATTAAATTTTCATTAGTCACAGTGCTTGTTTAGTGGTTTCATTTTGGATTGAAAAACCTATATAATTATCTATATCACCACCTATTAGCTAAGTCTTTAAGGTTTATCCTTTCTCTTTGTTAACTAATTACAGCTATTTCTCTTTCTGTTATCTTTTTATTTTTAATCAGAAGTTTTTTTTAAAAAATCTATAATACAGCTAGAAGTGTGTGACAGTAGAGAATATAGATTCTGGTATCTTGTGACATCTACATAATTCTTTATGGGATAAATCTGAATTTCTTTGGGAGCAGCATTTCATGTTTAGCTTCTACTTCACCTACAAAGAATAATCCATAATTATTTTTTTGCATTTCCTTTTGGGCTCACAGTTCCATGCAAATGAGTGAAGATACCACCATGCAAACTGAAAGTTGCTTGTAGCAGAGAAAGGTACACAATTGGAACATCAGTCTATTACAGAGCAACAAATGGCACAAAAATTATATTTGAAAAAAAAACCAGCCAGGTATCTTTAATGTGTATAAATTGGCAGTGCACTGAATTAACATAAAAGGGTAAAGGTACAGGTTTCCTTTGGGCAGTCTTGTCTGACTCTAGGGATAGAACTCACCAAGGAAATCAGCATAATCTGAAAACATTTAAGATGTTCATGTGGCCTGCATGACTATGTCCCAAAGCACACAAAACGTTGTTACTTTAATGGTAGTTATGTATGCACTTGCATTTACATGCTTTCAAACTGCTTGATGGGCAGGAGCTGGGACAAATAGCAGGAGCTCACCTCCTCCTGCGGTGCTTGGGTCTTGAACTGGGCTGTCAGTTTCCAGCTGACAAGCTGAGCATGTTTTAACTAGCCATCACAGCCCATATACGTTCTTCAGAGCTGAAGAAGCTTCTTGGATGAGAAGCAAAATGTCTTCAAAGAAAAAAACCAGAAAGTCTAGTTTCCTCTTGGAAAAAAAGCACCTTTGGGCAACCATGACCTGGATGACTGAGAATCTCCATAGACATTGTTCAAAACACAAATGCTAAGGCTATGAGCAGGACTGAAACTTCTATTGTAGGAATTCCTTGCAAAAGACAAAAATAGGATTGCCAAAAGAAGACTTGCTGGTTGGAAGTCCTATGCAGATCTCCTAGGGTCAAATCCAAAACTTTTCCAAAAGGCCCACACCAGCTCACAAATACTTTTACCATGTAAGATTGCCTCAGGTTTTGCCTTGCTTTGACCTGGCGTAGAGCTTGGGGTGAAGTAGCCTTTGCATGCCCTCCAGACTATATCATCGAATATCATTTGGTGCCATTGTGGAGATTTCAGCAACGGGTCAAAATTCACATCCCCTTAAAAGTCTGTAGAGATTCATAGTCATCCAAGTCATGGTTGTCCCAAAGGTGCTTTTCCAGGAGGCAACTGGACTTTCTGTTTATTTTTCTTTGAAAATGTTTCACTTCTCATCCAAGATGTTTCTTCAGCTCTGACTTCCGTTCCACACCCTCCAAAATCAGAGCTGAAAAAGCATCTTGGATGAGAAGCGAAATATCTTCAAAGAAAAAACAAGAAAGTCCAGTTGCCTCCTCAAAAAACACCTTTGGGGTTTTTGGCATTCTTTCTACTCACCACTTTCCTTCCTAACAGACAGGAAGCAGCAAGTGAAGCTAGGCAAAATCACATCTGATACCTGTACAATTAGCACAGTGGCCCCCCAAGGCTGTGTGCTTTCTCCATTTCTTCCTATATACCAATGACTGCATCTCAGATGATCCATCTGTTAAAATACTGAAGTTTGCTAATGACACAATAGTGATTGGCCTCATGCGAGATGATGAATCCACACACAGACAGGATGTTGTACAACTTGCTTCATGTTGTAACCGGAACAATCTGGAACTGAATACATTCAAAACCGTAGAAATGGTGGTAGACTTTAGAAGAAACCCTCCCATTATACCACCTCTTACAATACAAGTCAACACAGTATCAACGGTAGAGACATTCAAATTTCTAGGTTCTATTATATCACATGACCTAAAATGGACACCTAACATCAAAACGTCATCAAAAAAAGCACAACAAAAAATGTTCTTTCTGCGCCAACTCAGAAAGCTCAAACTGCCCAAGGAGCTGCTGATACAGTTCTACAGATGAATTATTGAGTCTATCATCTGCACCTCTATAACTGTCTGGTTTGGTTCTGCAACCCAACAGGACAGACACAGACTTCAGAGAGTAATTAGGACTGCAGAAAAAACAGTTACTACCAACCTGCCTTCAGTCAGGGACCTGTATACTACATGAGTCAAAAAAAGGCTGTGAAAATATTTACAGATCCCTCACATCCCAGACATAAACTGTTTCAAGTCCTTCCCTCAAAATGACGCTATAGAGCACTGCACACCACAACTAGACACAAGAACAGTTTTTTCCGGAACGCCATAACTCTGCTAAACAAATAATTCCCTCAACACTGTTCAACTATTTACAAAGTCTACACTACTATTAATCTTCTCATCATTCCTTATCACCCATCCCCTCCCACTTGTGACTGTATGACTGTAACTTTCTCGGTTGTATCCTTACGATTTATATCAACTGTTTCCTAGTATGATTTGATTGCTTATTGTACCCTATGACTACCATTAAGTGTTGTACCTTATGATTCTTGATGAATGTATCTTTTCTTTTATGTATACTGAGAGCATTTGCACCAAGACAAATTACTTTTGTGTCCAATCACACTTGGCCAATAAAGAATCCTATCCTATCCTATCCTATCCTATCCTATCCTATCCCATCCTATTGATCCTTCTCCAATCCAGTGCCCCTGCACTCCTAATCACAGTTAATTCTGCCTAATTGGTAGGACTGGGCTTATTTTAGGCCCATCAAGTAGACTCTCTTTATCACGTCAGTGGTTAGAAGGAAAAAGCTACACTAGGTGAGTTTGAGCGCGGCGGTCCCAGAAATAGATCTAGCCTCCCTTTCAGTGGAGGGCTTGAGCGATTCACTGGGGCTCCGAGTAGAAATGGCCCCTCGGGCATGACTGGGCGACCGCACGCGCGCTCTGCCGCCCTCTGGGAGAGCCGGAATGACGGGAGGGCGCGTGAGGCAACGGCAGGCGGAGGAAAGCCGCCACAACCGCAGCTGAGCGCCTGCCTGCCTGCCTGCCTGTTTCTCTCATCCCGGTTGGCATTAGCGGCAGCGGCGGCGGCAGGACCGAGAGCTGGTCAGCTTCGTCCGGGCAGGGGAGGCGGCAGAGCCAAGCAGCCCGAGGGGCCTACTTTCGTTGTCTTGTGCCTCGTTCTCCGAGGGCGCCAGAAGGCGCAAAAAAGTCAAGGAAAGCGTTGGAGACCTCTGGAGTTGGAAAGCTCAGCCAGGCTCCTCGGACTCTCCTTGGATCCCCGAGGTGAGGAATCCCGCCTGGATGGTTACCGTGGTGACCAAGCTCGTGCATTATCTGCACCTCAGGTAAGGAGTCACGTAGGCGGCCAGCGGCTGCTGCCCTCGGCTAGCTGGTTGCCGGCGAGCCCCTTTCTATAACTTCCTTCCCACGTTATAATATTGCTGTTTCTCCTGCACTCCCATCCCTCCTGTTTCTAGGCTGCACAATCTTTCTTTCTGGCAAACTTTTTTCTTTTCTTTCTGATACAGTATAATACGCCGCGCTATTTGCAAATAACTCAGGAAAACTCTCCGATACTGTGAACTTCAGTCTACAGTACTTTCGTAAGATCACACTGCAGGCTATCCGTTCCGTCACTAAGGACCAAATATTGATTTGAGAGTGGGGAGCTGTGATCAGGAGGCTAGAGCTTAAAAAGAAAACAAAGATGTCAGCACCTTTCTGAAGGGATGAATGCATGGCAATAAAATCAGCAATGCAGCAGAGAGAGAAAATAAAAGCTTAATTTCTTTCCTTCCACTGCTTTCCTGATTAAAAATTAACACATTCGCTCAATGAAAGTTGTCTTTTGGAAGAACACAAGTATCAGATGGATATTATGTTTGACTGAGGATCTTTTTTTGTGGCAATTTAGTATCAATCCAGGGTTACTAGTAAACACATTCTGGAGACGTATGTCCTTAAATGGGGCATTGCTCTTCTTTTCAATTATACATTCTACATAAGGATACTCACAAGGGTATATGTAAGTGCAACTTAGAAAATCAAGATTCTTTCATATAAAAAGAAATATAACATGTTTTGTTACAGAACTACAACATGTGGCTGATTTTCCACACTGACTCATTAAGTGAGGATGATTCCAAGTGAGGATGTTATATTGGGATACATGCAATATTTTCTTTAAAACAACCCCAGCAGTTTCAATATTGTTGTATTCTCTGTTCATTTGCTTGCCTAAAGTTCTGCCATCTAGAAAGGCATGAATATTCAGAAAAGAAAAGAATATATTTCAAGTCATGGATATTTCCACAATTCTAAGAATTCACACACAATTTCAACAGTGGCAGTAAATGCGATCTTTAAACTTTGACAATGATAAGAGTGTTAGCTATGTTCCAAAGATCTGGATTTTAAACTTTTCTTCCTTTAATGTTATCATGTCACATCATAAACTGTTTTGCAAAATCTCCTTAGTTTTAACAAGCCTGATTTTTGAGAAATACTATTGAAAACCCGGCTATCCATTATGTTTTAGCTATCTGAAAAAAATTAACTCTATATCTCAGGGGAATAATTCAGCTGTTTTGATATATTCATGAAAAACTGAGTAAGATATTTTCTGTATTTCATAAGTTATAAATGTTTGAAGTATCATCTTAGAATTTCCCATGTTGAATATTGTTAACACTGTTTAGACTATAAAGATCCAAAATATAAATTATATGTATAGTTAGGTTACAAATACCAAGTTGTTTCTTTATGGCTGGTTCCTGTACTACCGGCACATCAGTTACGTATAGATGTTTTAACATTAACATCAAATATTCCACAAGCATAGGTAACATTGTAAGCTGAGATATTCAATTTATTTAAACTATTCTTATTAGTTAGACCTATGTTTGTAATCTTCTCATGATTACATAAATCCAGGAATATTTGCCTTACTAATAGTATATAAAATATTTAGTTCTACCATTTATGTTGCCTTTATGTCTATTCATTCAGTGTAGTTGTATTTCCTCTTATAAAAACTCAAAATTTCTGTTCCAATTCCCACCAACCCACCTTTAAGTTTCTCCAAGTTTCTGCTTTTGCTCTGCACATACCAATTCCCTTCATTCATGCTTTGCTTATATATCCTGTTGTCCAATTTCTCTTACTAGAACACATCAAGCACAGGTAGACCCAAACATTCAAAAAGTATTTCACATATAGAAAAAAATTGCTAAGGGAAAGAAGTACAAAGACTGAAAAAATAAATTACTTTTGATTTAAAAATTTCCATTTATTGAATATGAGTCTTATTGCCATTGATTTTTTAAAATATATCACCGTGGGCATTCCTCAACAGAAGACTAATTCAGACAATAGTTGTTTTTCTTCATTGTTTTCTCTAAATGAAGGATTCTTGACTATAGGTACCAACCAATAAAAAAAAAATAGAACCTTATTACATTAATTTCATTTAGTGTTAATTTGTGATTATCTGAACTCCCAAAAGTAAAAAGTGCATTTAGTGCACATTAAGCCTAATTAGTAGTCTGTTTTAATATGTTAATATCTGATTATTTTCCTGAATGTAGAAAGATAGCCAGATTTGTGTAGGTGTACGTTTATAGCTGTGCATGTGTATCTGTATGTATATATGTATATGTACATATAAATACACACACACACACACACAAAAAAAAAAACAACCACATAGCACACATGCTTACACACACATTATGGTTGTTAGCCAGATATTAAATTATATTTCAGAAATTTGACATCTGGCTCCTAATTACTTTTTAAGGCATGAGTTTCCTATCGCAGGAGTCGCCAACCTTCTGGATCTTAGGGATCACCAAACTCATAATTTTAAATCCCAGGGACCACTAACCAGTTCTGTGGATGTGGCCTAATTTGTGGGTGTGGCTTGGTGGTCATGTGACTGGCTGGGCATGGCTTGTATGTAAATATTATAAATATTAATATAAATATTGAATTTTTTATAAAAAAAGAGCAACTTTTACCCAAAATCAGGCAAAGCAGGCAGGGAGATTGAGTTGCTCACAGAATCATTCAGTGATCTATCTATCTGCCATCGGCTACCTGAGTCTGTCACATAAAATTTGCTTGCCGTGAGTCTGCACTGAATAATAGAACCTTCAGTCCTAAGGGAGGTTTGACTGTACTTAAAAGCAGAGCCGAAGATCAAAGACTAGCTAAAAAGCAAGAAATCCAACCATTTCCTGCATCCTAGTTAATCTAAATCTCCCGGCACAGGAGAACAGCTGATGGTCAGAAAAAGGAAAAATTTAGCAGGCAAGTTTGCCAGGTAAGGAGTGAGTGGGTGGGGAGGGTTCCCGCAGGCGATGTGGGCGGTGCAGCCTTGTGTTTCAATGCAGCCTGGATTTGGGGGGGTGGGGGTGCTCTGGCGGTGAGATTTCTCTGGAGCCCACCAAAATTTTGTCAGGGCCCACCAGTGGGCCGCAGCCAACTGGTTGGCAACCGCTGTCTGTCATATACGTACTGTGATTTACAAAATAATGCTTAATGGTTCAGATAATTACTATAGAATCTGTTATACCAGGGATGTCAAACTCAAGGCCCAGGGGCTGGATCTGGCCCGTAGAGTGCTTAGATCTGACCCATGTGGCCACCCTGGAAACAGCAAAGGACCAGCGCATAGTACCTCTGCCAGTGACAACAGAGCTCGGGAGAGCCGCGCATGGCCCTCCCGAGCTCCATTTTCAGTGGCAGAGGGTTGCAGGATGCCATTGCAGCTGAAAATGGAGCTTGGGAGCCTGTTTCTGCTGGTAGAGCACTCAGGCCACCACAGGTGGCCCCGACACAAGTGATGACGAACTGGCCATGCCCACCCTGGCCACGCCCACTGTGGGCCCCCCAAAGTCAAACACAACCCTGATGTGGCCCTTAATGAAATCAAGTTTGACACTTCTGTGTTATACCATTGCTGCTTCTAGAGAGTAAGCAGTGTGGGTTTTTTTGTAGCAAAAACAATCCAGAATTTTGTGGTGTTTTAAAGGTGTGTGTGTGAGGGAGAGAGAGAGAGTGGGGGGGGGGGAGATAAGGAAAGGGAGAGATTATGAATGTGATATTTTATTTATTAATCAATTTTATGTAGCCTCCCACTTCACTGAAGGTGACTCTGGGTAGCGCACAATGAGTTGAAACCACATATAAAAACCCACAAATAGAAAATATATATTTCTCCCATGAGCTGTTCAGAGCATCCAGAAGTGGGAGGTGCTTCAGTCTCTTCTGGAAAGGCTGGGCTTAACACTCTGGGATGCTCCTCCTCCTCCATGGGACACCTCCTCAGTGTCCCCCAGTTTTAGCTCAGCCTTCGTGGTAAGAGGTTGTGCACTCCCTGACTAGAACGGTTTCTGATTCAGCTAGTCAAGATTTAGGTTTGCTCTTGGGTTAATTCGGCTTGCAAATTTCCCCCCCTATTAATCTGGCGATTTCAAGGCTTGTGGCTCTATTAGGTTATCACCCCAATCAGTTGAGAGCAGCTCTTTGTGACTGGTGGAGACTGCCATTTCACAGGCAGTCTGAGACGGCCGCTTCAGGCAATTAGCCTATCTAATTCCCCAATCGTCTTATTTTTGCGATCTTGCCGGAACGCTCGCAGCTGTGGCTCACTTCTCCTTACAGGATCATTTGTCTGACATTTTGGAGAGTCAGCAGTAGTGGCTCTTTAAACTGCTCAGGCATTTAACATAGGAGTTTCTGCCTTCCCGCCTTTTTAAACGGCTGGCTTCAAGTTCGCACCTAAATATTACAGGCGCCATTCCCTGCTGGTTTCCCTTCCTGGGGACCGGGGCAAGTACTTTCCCACTCCACTTTCCTGGGATTATTTCTCTCTTAGCCTGCTGGCATTGGATAAGCAGGTTAGTCCTTAAACAGGAATTGCTTTTAGATCGTTACATTGGAGCGAAGCCTCAAGTGCCATTTCAAACAGCGGGAGGTTTTTGACAGGAAAGGATCCATCCAGGACCTGTATAGCTGGTTTCCCTTCCTGGGGACCAGGGATCCTGAATATTTCTTGCTTGGAGTGCTTGGGGGCTTTCCCTTGCTGGGGACCCTTAGAAAACGTCCCGCTGTTTCCCATATATTTTGTTTCCCATATATACGGGCTTACATATAGATATAGGCATATGTATATATATGTGTGTTTGTATATATATATATATATATATATATAGACTTACACTCCTGGAGAAGCGCCCTACTTTCAACCACAGGGGTAGGCACCACCCCTAAGTACAAATAATAATAATAATAATAATAATAATAATAATAATAATAATAATTATTATTATTATTATTATTATTTAAAAAATTAAAGTTAGAGACACGAGATTCAGTCCTCCACAATGGAAGGTGACTACTCTCCAGTCCATTCTGCTCAGCATCAGAGAGAACAATGTCCTGACCTCTATAGATCTGACAGAGGCTTATCTACATATACCAATTAGACCTGCTCACTACAAATACCTTGGATTTTGCTATTGTGATCGGCACTACGAATATATCGCCCTACCATTCGGTCTGGCTTCGGCCCCTAGGACTTTTACCAAGGTCCTAGCGGCTTTGGCTGCCTCCCTCAGGATCAAAACTATTCATTTACAATGTTATCTGGATGATATTTTAATTTTGTCATCTTCCAGACATCAAACAAATTTGGATACCAAGATTACTCTGGAGACCCTTCAAGGTCACAGCTTTTCCATAAATTGGGATAAAAGCCATTTGATCCCTAGGTTAGTTCATTTAGGGGCAGTGATAGATACCATGGAGGGCAAGGTTTTTCTCTCTCAGGACAGGTTGAATAGTATCCAGTCTTTGGCCAGAGAGATCAGAGCCTTAAAGAGGGTTTCCCTGGCAGTTCTGTCTCAACTGTTAGGGAAACTGATTTCTTGTATTTCCATTGTGCCTTGGGCTTGATTCCATTCCAGAGATCTGCAATGGTTCCTGCTACCTTTCCAGCAATCTGGAAGAGCCACTTCCAATGTCCGGATAAAGGTACCACACAATGTTCTCCGATCGCTCCGCTGTTGGTCAGAAAACACGATAAACAAGGGGTGTCCTTTCAAGGAACCTTGCAGGGCAACGATCACAACCGATGCCAGCCTGGTAGGATGGGGAGCTCACTTCCAATCCCACACTGCACAGGGAATATGGACTATTTCCGAACAATCACAAAGCATCAACCTGTTGGAGCTGCGAGCAGTTCATCTGGCATTACGCAGTTTTCTACCCCTTTTCCAATCACGCCACGTTCTGGTCTTGACAGACAATATTACAACCAAGGCCCATGTAAATAGACAGCGGGGTACCCACTCCAAACTTCTGATGCGGGAGATGGCCAGGTTGTTCAAGTGGGCCAAGGCCAATCTGTTGTCGCTCAAGGCAGAGCACATAGCAGGGGACTTAAACACACAAGTGGACTGGCTCAGCAGGGCCTCGGTAGATCAGGCAGAGTGGCCCCTACACCCATCTCTCTTCCAGGAAGCAGTGCGGAGGTTTGGGCAACCGGTGTTCGATCTATTTGCCTCTCCTCGCAACGCCCAATTGCCCCGGTATATTTCAAGGTACCCTACTCAGGGGGCGGAGGCCATCAATGCTCTGCGATGTCAGTGGCCTCCCGGACTTCTATATGCGTTTCCTCCACTCCCTGTAATACCCAGGTTGATCCAGAAGTTATTGGAGGAACGAGCGGAACTGATATTGGTCGCCCCTTACTGGCCCAGGCGAACATGGTTCATGGACTTACAAGACCTGTCGAGAGAACAACCTTGAAAAATTCCACCATTGAGGGTTTCCCTCTCGCAAGGGCCGGTACTTCACCCGGACCCACAATGGCTCAGCCTAGCCGTATGGAGGTTGAGCGGAACCGTTTAAGGACCCAACAGATTTCAGAGGATACCATTGCCACCATACAAGCATGCAGACGGTCCTCTACAAATCGTATATACGAGGCCACGTGGTCTGCTTTCTGTCGCTGGTGCTGGGGGCCTACGATCGACCCAACTGCCCCATCAATAGGACAATTATTGGACTTTTTACAGGAGGGGTTGACCAAGGGCCTATCTCCAAATACTTTACGCAGACAGGTGGCGGCCTTAGCCTTGGTGATATCCTGGGGTGACCTTTGTTCCATAGCGCACCATCCACATATCTGCAGCTTTCTTAAGGGTGCTGCAAACTTACGACCTCCTGTAATTCACCGCTATCCCACTTGGGAGCTCAACGAGGTATTAACCGCACTTACAACTGGCCCGTTCGAGCCTTTAAGAACCGCTAGTCTCAAATTCCTGACATATAAGGTGGTCTTCTTAATTGCAATCACATCAGCAAGGAGGATTTCTGAGTTGGCAGCATTGTCGATGAGAAGGGACCTGTGCGTGTTTCATGTGGACAGAATGGTTCTCAGATTGGATCCATCATTCATCCCTAAAGTAAATTCAACCTTCCACAGAGTGCAGGAGTTGGTGCTTCCAAATTTTTGTCTGAAACCATCTCATAGACTGGAGCATCAATGGCATCGACTTGACATTCGAAGGGCATTAAGCATCTATCTAGATCGCACGGCAGCATTTCGAAAATCTGAGGCTCTATTCCTATCCTTCAACCCATCCACAGGGCACAGGGTGTTGTCGATGACCATTGGTAGATGGTTGAGAGCCACCATAGCTAAAAGTTACAAATGCCAGTCCATCTCAGTTCCTAAGGGCATTACAGCCCACTCGACAAGGAGTGCGGCAACATCAGCAGCATGGGCCACTCAGGCTTCCATAGACGAAATCTGCAGAGCGGTGACTAGGGCTTCACCATCGCCCTTTGTCAGAAATTATAAAATTGATGTCTACGCTTCAGCAGACACTTCATTTGGCAGAAGAGTCCTGCAGAGGGTCCATAGAGTTTAGGAGTGGATTTCGATCCAGACGGAGTCCCTCCCTAAAGACAGGCCAAACTTTGGTATGTCCCACTTCTGGATCCTCTGAACAGCTCATGGGAGAAAGGGCGTTTGTACTTACCTGATATGCCCATTCTCTGTGAGCTGTGAAGAGCATCCTGCCCCACCCATTTCTTTCCGTCTGGTGGGGTTCTGTTCCGGTCAGGGATCTAGATTAGGTGATGAGTCCCGGACTTTGGCACTCAGTCTTCACAAAACTGAGGGACGCTGAGGAGGTGTCCCGTGGAGGAGGAGGAGCATCCCGGAGTTTTAAGTCCAGCCTTTCCAGAAGAGACTGAAGCACCTCCCACTTCTGGATGCTCTTCACAGCTCACAGAGAACGGGTGTATCAG